TGACATTTATTTAGCAGCTGTATCTGGTCCCCAAGAGTAGGCAGACACAGAGCCAAATAAGTCCCCCTTTGCACTATATATTTAAAGCAGTATCACATCACTTTAAAAATTCATGGATTCTTGCAAAAAATCCTGGGAAGTGTAGTTTGTTAAGGGTGCTCAGAGTTTTTAGGACACCCTTATTCCCCTCATAGAGCTACCATTGACAGAGTTCCCTGGGAAGAGCCATTCTGAGCATTGTAGCTCTGTGAGGGGAACAGGGGTCTCCTAACAACTCCCAGCACCCTTAACAAACCACAGTTCCCAGGATTCTTTGTGGGGAAACCATGGCTGCTTAAAAGTGTATGATATTGCTTTAAATCTATACTGCAGATGGGGCCTAGTTCTAGTTGTGTCTCCATCCTCTGTAGTATCAGGTTCTACAAGGTCAACACTTAGACTGAGGAGGAGGAAGCTGACAGCCGGTGCCGCCCAATGACTGGGTGGAAGTAAGAGGACAGGTGGGAGCTGGCTGGGATTGGACAAAGACTGGTGGGGCTGTACCCTATTTACCCTAATAGACCTGCCCACACTGGGATGCTGAAGGGGAGGGGTTGGGGGCAAACTGTGATGGAGATGGGTACGGGGGTGGGTGAGGTTTAAAAAGGGGTAGTTTCTGTCAGGTATGGGAGAAGTACAAAGGAGTAGACAGGGTTGGTAAACAGAGCAAGCAAGGGGTGGCAGTACCTAGTGGGTATGTAGCTATAGATATAATCTACAGGAGATAAGTTCATCAAAGACGCAGAACCCTGTGTACAACCTCATAATAATACAATTGAAATAAACAGTGCAAATTAAGAAAGATGTTCGTTTAATCAAAACATCTGCATTTTAACACTGTAACAAGCATTTAATATTAAATTGTGACAAAGCAATTAATGTTAACATTACATCTCGTCTTCTAGAATTCTATGAAAGGTTGTCACATAGTTGTGAATTTTACTTTCTGCTGTCCTTACTGTTGTGTATTGCTAAGAGGAGGCCAGAAAGAGGTTCCACAAGGAATTAACCAGGAAAGGCTTACAGAGAAAAACCCCATACCCAAGAATTGCAGTGAAGGACTCATCTGTTAGGGCAAATGGGGCACTGCCCCACCAACTTGAGTCTGCTCTTAGCCAGCCTCCACCTGCCTGCTTTGTGGGCCTGTGTCTTTCCATGTCCAGCGTTTTTGCAGAGGACTTGGATCTCATTGAAGAACTTGGATGTCAAGGATTGTCAAATTGCCCAATGACAGCAAACTGAAAGATTTGTGTCATCAGTCAGCATGGGACCATGGATGATAATGTGTTGGTTTTGGATGTAGATGACTCAGGATTAAATCCGGTGTTTCATTTGTGCCATAGTTCCCCGGGACTTAGCCTTGGGCTTTTCAATGCAAGGGCTCAGCTTTGGATGTGCTGAGAAATAATAATAATAATAATAATAATAATAATAATAATAATAATAATAATATTTTTAAAGGTCTGCTCCTGAGCATTTGCTGCACCACCAATAATTGCAAATTGCCAATTTCCTACCAGGCAAGGTTCAAGGTCCTTTTGTTGATGCACAGAGCCCTAAACATCTTCACCCTCAAGTATGTTAAGGACAGTCCGAGCCACAGTTCCAAGCACCCTTAACAAATGACAGTTCCCAAGATTCTTTGGGGAAGCCATGAGTTCTAAATGTGCATTCAGTGTGTTTCAAATATATGGTGCGGATGCGACTAAAGTTTCTAGGCCTGCTATTTGCAGAAGCTTGTGAATTGGGCTAAGCAGGATTTCCAGTTAACCACTTGGAATATTTTATTCCCCCACCACAGGCCCCAGAGTACTCATAGTCTCCAACTATAAGATGCTCAGCCTTAACATACCTGAGCACTGGAACTTGCCATCACGGTCTGCTTGTGAACCTTACTGAGGCACCTTTCTGGCCACTGCCTGAGTACAGGAACCACTAGTATGAGCGACCAAGACTGGAGGGTCATATTCAGCCCTGGGCCTGAGGTTCCTGATCCCTGGAATAAAGCATGGCAGCATCATTCTTTTTAACTGATAACTCAACAACCCTTTTGCATCAGTTTAAGAAATGCCTCCCACACACCTTCCTAGAAATGTCCTATGTACAAGCAAAAATCCCGTCCTTCTCTTTACCATTTCCACCTCTGAACAAAGTAGAGTTGGTAAGAAATAGCAGACAAGGTGGGGAATATGCACTGAAGCCAGCCAGGCATCAGCTGGCCATTTTTCTGAATATAGTGGTACCTCGGGTTAAGAACTTAATTCGTTCTGGAGTTCTTAACCTGAAACTGTTCTTAACCTGAGGTACCACTTTAGCTAATGGGGCCTCCCGCTGCCGCCACCACGTGATTTCTGTTCTCATCCTGAAGCAAAGTTCTTAATCCAAGGTACTATTTCTGGGTTAGCAGAGTCTGTAACCTGAAGCATCTGTAACCTGAAGTGTCTGTAATCCGAGGTACCACTATATCTTTTTCTCCATCTCTCTTGCCCAAGCACCAGCCTTTCCTTTCCACCCCTTCTCGGGAGTATCAGGATTGCGGTTTGTTCCTTTCAGCTCATGGCTAATCAACCTTGCTCAAAGGTTCAGAAGCACCCCGCCATTCCTCTCTCACCTCATTTGGCGGGGGGGGAGGCACATCTGCTTATTTGGTTCCAGAGAATTCATTTCATCTTGCCATTGGGCCATTTATTTATTTATTTCCCCTGGCCAGCTTTTCTTTAAAAAGCCTGTCTCCCTTGATTTAGTGAGCCAATAGTGGCGGGGAGAGAAAAGGAGGAAAGGAAGAAAATGTAATGAATAAAAGGCAATGAATAAAAGGCTTTTGGAACATCTGGAGTTGCTCTTAGGCAACGCGCAATATCCCAGCCCAGATGTTGGGAGACGGCCTTCTGCTTGTGAACATGTCAAAACGTAGAATTCCATTCACACCACTTTTATTCCTCTTTTTTTGCCTGACCTATCTTGGCCACTTGATTGGCACCTTCCAAAGTTGAGGGGGGGTGTAATTTCATTCATTCAAAAAGGCTCATAAGCCTTTGAAGAAGACTGTCCTCTTATATTATTCAATATACCTGTGACCCTCCAGATGTTGCTGCCATCAGCCCCAGTCAACAAGACCAATGATCAAGAATGATGGGAGTTGGGGTCCAGCAACATCTGGAAGATTGTACGTTCCTCAACCCTGCTCGACGGAGTTTACAGCAGGGGCGCAAAATCTGTGAGTTGAATCCAACTAAGTTATACTGGCATGCTCTGGTCCATGGGGTCACGAAGAGTCGGACACGACTAAAAACAACAACGACAACAAAGTTATACTCACAGTAGACCAACTGAAATGACTAGACCTAAGTCATGAAAAGGACTAGTATTGGCTACAACCCCGCGGTCCTCCAGATGTTGTTGGACTATATTTCCCATCATCCCTGAACATTGAACTACAATGTCCATCATCCTTGGCCACCGGCTACAGTGGCTGAGGCTGGAGGGAGTTGGAGTCCAACAAAACCTAGGAGGCCCAAGTTTCCTCATGCCCATTCTAAAGAAAGCATTTAATGGCCTGCTTCAGCATAGGTTTATGAACAAGATCAGGCTGCTTGCCTTGCAGGGTGACTCCCCCAGCACAGCTGGCATCTCTGAGATAACACATCATGGCGCAGCTCAGTTTCACTGAATCACATTTTGACAGGAATAAAGAATCACAGGGGTAAACTGCAAAATCCCTGTAGACTGGCGCAGCTTCACTTCCTTCAACCAGAGTGTGCAAAGATGATTTACATCTTACTGTGGATCTGGCCCAGAGAGTGGAAAAGATGCTGGGAGTGGAAGAAAGATGGTCCATCAGCAAAAACTCCTGCATAGCACAGGCAATGACGTCCTTTGCAGAGCGGACACGCTCCATCACCTTCACCGCCCCAGCGTGACAGCAGCCGAGGGGGGCGGGAGAGATGCAAAAGGAGGCTAGGCCGCTGGAGGTGTCATCCCTCATGGTCTGGACACGCTTCATCCGTCAGCATATTGGACAGCTCAGCGCTCTTGGCGAACCCCCGGCACACTCCATCTGCCCCCAACATGGTGCCCATCAATCATCTAGCATAGGCACACCCAGGAACATCACAAGAACTGCCTGTGAGTGAAATGTGTGGTGTTCTCTCTCTCTCTCTCTCTCTCTCTCTCTCTCCACCCACCCTTCCTCACACATCACTGTGCTGTACAGATAAATTATGAGCCACTAAAAAGGTGAATATAGGAGTGTTCATCAAAGGGACAGTTAAATAGATTGCAGAGGGTAATTGTGGATGAGGAGGAAGGCAGCTACAAAAGATAAACTGCAGCCTAGACAGTATGTAACACTGAACTAGCCCTCCTGCTACCCTCCACTGGCACTGTTGCAAGAAGATCAGAGGTTAGCATTATAGGAATAAATGGGGGGAGCCTCTGCTCTAGCCTCCCCATCTTCCCTACTCTTCTGTGTAGCTGCAGGGAAATAAAAAGACTTTCAACTAAACCATAGTTTCTCATTACATCCAAACCTGGACAAACTGTAGTTAGCATTAACTGTGGTTTAGTTTCAAACCATGGTTTACGATGCTGGCTTGTTTCCCTAAACCATCATTACCACTAACCTCAGCTCTCAGTTTGGATTAAACAAGTAACTGTGGTTGGTTGAAAAGTGAGAGTGGAGCTCCTGATTTCCTTTGGGGCATGTGTACTGGAAGCTTTCCTATGTTTATACCTGTACACCTGCATGCAGCCTATATGTTGATGAAAAGGGGACAATAATAACAGGATAATCAGATATTAGACTTTTATGTCTGAGGCCCTAACTTCAAGTGCCATTAATGATGACATGATCAGCAATAATGCAGTGTGTATTAAATACTAGACATTGTGGGTGGGAACTATAATCAAGATTGCATTGTGTAGCTAGGGGCTCTTGAAGCCTTCCTTCCCCAGCAACAACCTCCATCAAAGTCACCCCTCTCAACGTGCAGCAATTATCATTTTGAAACAAAGCTCCCATTTGTGTCAGTGCTGCCCCAGATGCTGTTTTCTGCACTGCAGAAAGAGTAGATTCCATGGACATTGCAACTGGGGAGGGGCATCATAAACCTTTCCTCCATGCAAGCTGCTTTCTTGATAACATCTCCCAGCAATGCCTGGTATTTAATTTTTTAAAACACATGGTGTGATCGCTAATCACATAATTAACATCATGCGTAGTTATGCCCTGAGATGCATCTGTTTATCATACTGCAATAAAGGCTCCTTCCTCACCCACTCCATTTCTTTTTGGCTCCTCTGCAAGAAGGCCCAGATTTTCAAGAGTAGGAAAGGATTAACTAAACATGAATATCTGTACCCAATGGAATGGCCTCCAATGCTGCTCAGATAAAAATAGGTACATGTGCTTTGCATTAAGAAAGAAGGATCATCTCCTCATGTTTGTGAGGCAATGAGCAAGAAGTGTGAGGCAGTCAGGTAGGGAGGCACAATTCATCCAGAAGTTTCTGGTGCAAGCTCTATTGAAATAAAAAGGAGTTGTGCAAGAACTTAATCTTAGCAAAGTCAATAATGCATATGGAGTCCAGAGAGAAAAGAAATCCTGATAACACTTTACTCAGAAAATTGAACCAAAAAAAAGTATATAATTAGAGAAGAACTAAACAGAGAAGTTTGTCTTTCTTACTTCAGGCCTTGTACATAGCAGGGAGATAGTCAACCAAACATACTGAGGAAAAGCTCCCTCAGAACTATATAGCCAATCAGAGCATGTGCTACCTCAGCAAACATTATGCCATTCTATCTTGTTGCTAAGCCACATCTCCACACATCCCCCTCTTGGCTAGTTAGCTAAACATTAATAGAATTAACTCTTAAGTTACAAACTGAATGATCCCTGCTGCTGCACTTCCAGCAATTAAAAGATTTGCTATTGTGATGTCATGCAGATATGTGCTACTAAATTTGAGTAATAAATGGGCTCCACAAGTAGATTTGTGAATCCATCCATTAAAAGAAGTGGTCCAAAGTGGTCTAAAGCTCCCAAGATCTGGTGGGCTCTACCAGCAGTTCAGAAGTTACACTCCCATTGTAAGACTTTGCTTGAGATACAAAAAAGTAATGTCAAACTAATATCTTCATTAGGACCAACTGAAATGTCAGACAGTAGAAGTCGTAGAAATCATAGAATCATAGGGTTGGAAGGGATCCCAAGGGCCATATAGTCTAACCCCCTGCAATGCAGGACAGAGTCCTGCCCCCAGCCGCCCCTGGGCGGGCTTGAACCACCAACCTTCTGGTTAACAGCCAGATGCACTGACTCACCGCACCACCTCCTGCAGGGTCAGCTCTACTGTTCTGCAGAACTGGACCACTCCACTCAGCAGGTGGAAATATACTGCAAAACTTTGGTGCAGATCTTATGAGCAATCCATCTATTGCTGTAAGTGGCAATTGGCGGAGTCACCCTGAAGAGGGAGAAATATCACACTGTCTGTGGTGTGTCACAGGAACTGCTTTTGTTGTTGTTTTTCACTGGCTATAATTTCTTTACCTATAAGAGGTGTGGGAAAATAATAAGCCTGGGCTGTTCCTTCGGCTCTTGAGATTTCTGTGCCTCTAAGCACAGCATATCCAAAGCCCAAGTCTTCAAAAACAGGAGAGGAAGGGTCTTTAGGTGTGGCCACCGTTGCTGTTTCCAAAGGTAAGGCCCCAGCCAATTTGCTTCCCATTTATTTGGTTAGTTCCATTCATTTATTTTCCTCACCTGTGTCTTTCGTCAGCTGTATCCCAGTCAGGAAAACCGCAGGAGCAGCCATCTCTTATGAGGAAGATCCAAAGCACACAAGAGCGGCCTCCAAGAAAGCAGGATCCCAAGGGAACCTGACTTTCAGCCCTGCTAAATGCTTTGCCTGCCTCAGCAACTCCCATTCGACTTGGCTGTTTCCTCCTTTCCTTTCAGCAGCGCCAGCTCTCCTGATTCTTGTCTGGACTGTCCAGCAATGTTCTTCAATAAAACACACACATGTGCAAAAATGTCCCGGATTTCTTTTTTTAAGGCTGATATAACAACAACAAAAGAATTTTTCGGTTACCTGCCAGCCTCTTTATTATTTTATTACTTATTCATTTACGCATCGCCTTCCATGTGAGTCCCGAGGCGACCTACGTAAAAACAATTAAAACACAGCAAAGTAGAAACCTGCTTTATACCGAGTCAGACCAGGATATGTCTATCTAGCTCAGTATTATCAACATGGACTGGCAGAAGATCTCTCTGGGGTTCATTCTTCCAGCCCTACCTGAAGATGCCAGGGATTGAACCTGGAATCTTTTGCATGCAAAGCAGATGGTGTACTACTGACCTACAGCCACTTGAAAACTTGAAAGAAAGCTTTGAAAAGAGTACAGTGGTACCTCGGTTTTCGAACGTAATCTGTTCCAGAAGACCATTCGAGTTCCGAAATGTTCAGAAACCAAGGCGCAAAGGACGGCCTGCAAATTTAATAGAGAAAATTGAGAAAAATAACAAATACACTCAGCGGAAGCCGTTCGACTTCCAAGGCGTGTTCAGAAACGGAAGCATTTGCTTCTGGGTTTACGGCATTTGAAAACTGAAACTTTCATCAACAGAGCTGTTTGAGAACTGAGGTACCACTGTACCAAAAAATACAGCTAATGATAAATTTTAAAATGATACAGAATGAACACCTAATTTATTATTATTTTATTTATTAAATTTCTATACAATTAGCAGAGGGCAGTTTACAATATAAAAATGCATACCATAGTAACAAACAAAAACAATATCCTCCATATAGTTTAAAAGGCCATAGATTATTTAATTAGCCAAAGGTCTGGGAGAAGAATAACGTTTTCGTCTGGCACCGAAATGTATATAACGAAGGCACCAGGCGAGCTTCCCTGGGGAGAGCGTTCCACAAGCAAGGAGCCACCACAGTAAAGGCCTGTTCTCATGTTGCCACCCTCTGGACCTCTCACGGAGGAGGCACGTGAAGAAGGGCATCAAATGGTGATTGCAGGATCTGGCTCAGTTCATGTGGGGAGAGGCTTCCTTGGGGTATTGTGTTCCTGAGCTGTTTAAGGCTTTATAGGTCAAAACCAGCCCTTTGAATTTGTCCTGGCAGCTAATTGAAAGCCAGTGCAGTTGGACCAGAATTGGTGTTATATGTTCAAATTGTTTTGTCCCAGTAATTTTTGTAGACATTGTTTGGTTAGACAGCTCCACCACACAGTGCAAATTTTGAAGGACAGGTGTGTTTTGGTTTACATATTGGTTTGAGAAGTGAAAATTAGGTAGTTTCTCATTAAAATGCAAACAAAATTGACTTCCTCCACCATTCCTGCAAAGTTCTGATATTTTAGGGACTTTAATGAGAAACTTGTCTGTAAAGTCACGCATTTACTTGGACAAAGAGCAATAAAACTCAGCCTCAAAATTAGCTTCTTTGCCTTTTTGTGGCTGCGCGGTAGCCAGGAGATCAACAGGTGCCATTTTTCTCCTCATGACAGCTCCATGACGGGGAAAACTGCAGCAGTCGACTGTTTCCCTGTTGTTTTATTTTATTTCTTTACTTAACCCTGCAGCTCGCCTCATCCTGAAGGCAATCGGTTTAAAAAGAATATAAAATATCCCAACCGAAATGAAAAGCAGCTGTTTTATGGTTTCAAGGCCCAGGAAACCTCTGTCAGGAAAGGAATTATTAGCCTTGCAACTCCTCCCCCCTCATCTCTCTGAAGTCAGTTGATACAGATGTAGGCCTGAAATTGTCAGGTGCCTCAAGGAGGGCGGGAGCCATTTTGTCAAGCTGGACATCCAATGAAGCTGAATGTGGGATGATTCAAGACAGACAAAAGAAAGTACTTATTCACACAATGCATAGCTAGATGATGGAATTCACTTCCTCGAGAGGTAGTGATAGCCACCAATGGGGATGGATTAAAAGGGGGATTAGACAAATTCATGGAGGATAAAGATGTCATTGACTACTAGCCACAAAATGACTATGTTCTGCCTCAACTGTTGGAGGAAATGTACCCCTAAGTACCAGATGCTGTGAGTCACAAGTGGGGAGAGCACTCAGGGGCTGCCTGGGGGCTCCCCATAGGCATTTGGTTAGTCACTGTGAGAACAGGATGCTGGACGACATGGGCCGTTGGCTGATCCAGCAGGCTCTTAGGTTCTTATGTTATGAGGCTAAAATACTGCTCTGAGCTCCTTGAGTGAAACGGTGGGATACAAAATGAATATACCTTGGATTAAACACACACATACTGTACACACAACAACCCTGCATACAGAAAAAGAAGAAAAAGCCTAGGTCTCTCCCCATATGCCAGTTTTCAATGAAAAATGGTACCAAGAAGAGTATAGCGAAGGCGCCTACTTCATCTCAATAGGCAGGGAGTTCCAAAGTGCAGGCGCTGCCACATGAATCAATCAAGTTCTTACAAATGTGGAATGGGCATTATATGGCACCTGTAGTAGTGCTGTGCTTTTTCTGTGCCTTCCCATTCATCCTAGTTCATTCCACACTTTCTGATGCATTTCCATGTGTGGCTGGAGCTGATGGTCAAAACATTGGTGAAGGTTGGGATAGCAGGTGATGGGAGAGAACCTTCTTTGCCTGAGATCCTAGAGAAGTACTGCTGGTCATAGTAGGTAAGACTGGACTAGTCTGACCTGGTGGAAGGTAGCGTCCTCTCTTTCAGAGTTTACCTTGCTTCCACCTGCCTGGCCCTATGCCCAGTTTGTGCTCAATGTGCTGTTGTCCAGTTGGAGATGCCAAGGTGCCCCAAGACATGGTGGGTCTGTGTTCTCATACAGCAATACACCCCTTTCTATTAGTTGTGGCAGAGCAGCAGTGGAGACTGGTCCATTGGGGGAAATGGGGCTCTACCCCATCACCTCAAACCAGTCCCCACTTTCTGGCCTTTCTGCTTGCAACCAGTATGGGTGTCATTACCTGTCACTCTCCTCCTCCTCCTCCTTAGTCTCCGTGATGCCCTTGTAGAACTCAGCAGGGAGGAGGATAGGGACAACACCAGAATTATTTGCCTCTGCTTGTCATTGGCTCTGGCTCTGCCAATCATTGGCCCCATCTGATTCTGGCCTCCCTGCCTTCTGTCCCACTAGTTCCAACAGGCAACAGCCACCTCTGCACAGCAGCGAGGCCGGCAGGTAACAAATATGGAGTGTGCTGTGAAAAGCCGAGGCAGGTGGAACCCCTGTGGCGAGTGCTCAGGCAGGGGTGCAATGTTCAGACAGACCTCAGTTACCGGAGCCTGCTGGGGTAATAATAAACAGGTGAGGCAGCCCGTGATAAGCCCCAAGGAATGCAGGCTCAGCAGCTGTGGGCAACCAGCCCGTTCAGAACTTGGATGGGACAATTAAGTAAATAAAAAAGGCTAGAACACCGGATCAAAGTTGGAGAGAGCCGGTTTTATTTATTTGGAAAAGTCAGATTATATTGGCAGATGTGTATTTTTCTTTTTTCTTTTCCCCTCCCCCCAAAGTCTTTCAAAAACATTGGCCCTGATTTGAGGTTTCCTGATAGGCGTGTCATTTTTAAGGGTTTCTTATGGGAAAGGAAAAGGGCGTTGGGAAGAATATTTGGAGCGGCTGGGAGAGGGGCCCACCTCAGAAGGTTTTCCTCAGTGCACTCGAGGTTCCCTGAAACACAGATTTCAAACAGGTCTCTGAAGGGAAACTGTTGGGGGGGGACAACTTCCTAGCTGTCAACAGTTTAGCTCCTTTGAAGGACTGGAGTGCGATTTCCAAGTTTTAAGTCAGAAGTGATAACCTCTAAGCATGTCTCAGCAATGTGGAGGACACAGGGTGACCAGGGCTACAGATACTCTTACAGCCATCACTGGCTGGGGCTGATGGAAGATGTAGTCCAAGGCATTGTGAGGGGGTGGGCACCACCTTGTTGAAAGTAATATTCTTAGCTACAAGTTCCAAATTCTGCACCAGGTTGAAATGCGCATGCAGATAGATCAAATCTGCATACATCTACTTATTATTTTTACATGATTTTGTCTGCTTTTGCCAGCTGGTTGGAAAGTCTAAGCAATGTCCAGAAACTGACAGCTGGAAGCCCTGCACAAGGTTCTTAGATTTCATCAGACAATAACTTTGCTAGTCATGAGGACTGGGAACTTTAATGTTTGTTTTTGGAAGAATGTCAAGAGGCCGAGCATACTGATATCTGAATCAGATAAAACATGATTGCCGACAGGCAAAATGCACAGTCCTAGTTATGTGTGATGGAGCCCAAATAGCTTTGTTTGGACTCATATTTTGTACTTCAGCATTGCCTTTTCATCTATTAATGATCTGCCAGTAGATTGGCTACCTAATGCAACACCAGCATTTCCAGTCCATCGTCTTCCTCTCTGCGCATGGCACATTTCTTCATGATTCCCAACCACAGGTTATAGAACGGGAAGGAACCTCAGAATGAATCACACACAACCTTTGTGAAGGGTTGGCTTGCCATGCAAAGGAACCCTGACAAACATCATCCATCCTCCTCTCAACAATTTGCATGAGTGCAGCAACACATTTCTCAATTGTCAGATCATGAATTTGACAAAGGGCAGGACATAAATCCAACAAAAAATAAATGAATGGGTGAATAAGTAAACAAAGAGGTCTTAATAAGAGAAACATATCAACTTTTCAAATGGGGTGGAGGTGGGGCAATCCTTGCATACCTCTGAGTTAATATAATAACCTGCCAGAACAGGTTAGGTAGAACTTCTTGACACTTGAAAACACTTCCAGCAACTGCTGCTGGTGCTCACTGCTGGCTATGGATGCATTCATCCTGTCTTGAACTCAACAGGAGCTGGTCTGCCACCAAAGCACTTCCAGCTCTTACATCCTTCCTGGCACTTTGAGCCCAGCAATGACGCCACATTCAGGGAACGTCCCCCCCCCCCCAAGCATAGGAGCTGCCCATCTCTGCTCCAAGCTAAATAAGGATAGCTCTTTCCATCTCCTGTCTTCTCTCATGCTTTCCATCCAAACCCTTTCTCATTTCTGTCACTTTCCTCTGAAACATCCCCATTTAATGTTTGCATTTCAAGGCCTACAGAAATGTGGTGATCCAAGCTGGATACAATATTATTCTGGCCTGAGGCATAACTGGTGCCAAGGAAAGCTGTGATTTTACCTCTTGTGTCTTCTGCTGCAGTGTGGTGATATGTCCTGCTATAGAGAGAATAGCCACTTATTTGAAAGACTGTCAGAAGACAGCCCGTTTTAATGGAGAGCAAGAGGGGCCTTGATGTTGCCCATCAGCAGTGAGGAGCTGGAGAACAGACTGAGTCACCTTGCCTTATTCATAAGTATCCATACATAAAAATTTAGGGCAGACATGTGTCCTGCTTAAGTCCTCTCTTTGAAGAGCTGTCATTGGATAGTCCTCTAT